CTTTTAGTCTTGTGAAATACAATTATTACACCAATGTTATTTAACATTTGTGAAAATCAGCCAGCAGTGCAACCAGAGGCTGGATTCTGGTACGTTTTACGATCAGTTTAAGTGAGATACAAAAAGACAAGGAAACAAACTATCAAAACAGCTCCTTTTCAGAGTATGGCTGTATCTACTGCTTGTTCTTTTGAGAATATGCATGTAGTATCAGCCAGGGAAAAAGAGTAGAGGAATAATTCAGAACTGCAATATGTATATTTTAACATTGGACATTATTTATCTTTGTAAATACGCTGAATGAAATAAACATGACTGCCAACAAATGTCTTGGTTGAAAATTATGGAGGCATTTGCTTTAACTTGGGATCCTTCAAACACATTAGCCATGTCAACTGTAAACTTACAATTTACTTTTTCCCGCACTTGAATATTTTCATTCCACAAGATTGCAAGTTTTGAAGCTTGCTCTTAATGTGATGTGGAAAATTTGACAGAAAGGTTACATCCTGTGACATAATTACATTCGTCAATCAGTCTTGGCAAAACTACAGGCTTTTTGGAGCTTGACATTGTAAGTACACAACTCAACGTTATAAAGATGAGATAATTTCAATGTAGTAAAGGCACATGAAGATGCAGAGATAGGTCATTCCATGTATGGAACAGAATCACTTAGAAGATAGAACAGTTCAGCACAGTACAGGCCCTTCGGCCCACAATACTGTGCCAACCTATTATCCTACACTAAGATCAAACTACCCTGCATACCCTACATTATACTATCATCCATGTGCCTATCTAAGAGTCGCTTAAAAGTCTCTAAAGTATCTGACTCCACTACCACTGCCAACAGTGCATTCCACACACCCACCACTCTGTGTGAAGAACCTACCTCTGACATCTCCCCTATACCTTTCTCCAATCACGTTAAAATTATGCACCCTCATAATAGTCATTTCTGACCTGGGAAAAAGTCTCTGACAATCCACTCGATCTATGCCTCTCGTCATCTTGTACACCTCTATCAAGTCAGCTGTCATCCTTCTTTGCTCCAATGAAAAAAGCCCCAGCCCCCTCAACCTTTCCTCATACGACCTGCCCTCCAGTCCAGGCAGCATCCTGGTAAATCTCCTCTGCACCCTCTCTTAAGCTTCCACATTCTTCCTATAATGAGGCGATCAGAACTGAACACAATATTCCAAGTGTGGTCTAACCAGAGTTGCAGCATAATGTTGCGGCTGTTAAACTTAATTCCCCTACCAATGAAAGCCACTTGAACAAGTCTTCAGCAACATAGTTGTTTTGAAGTCGCTCATGGGATGTGGTTAGGCTAGTGCTTATCACCCATCCCTAATTGCCATGGAGAAGATGGTGGTGAGCTATCATTTTGAACCATTTGAGTCCTTGGATTATAACAACATCTGCAGGGGTGTTAGGAAGAAAGTTACAGGATTTTAACTCAGTGACAGCGAAGGAATGGAGATATAGTTGCAAGTCTGGATAGTACGTAGCTTACAGGGGAGCTTGGAGGTGGTGATGTGCCCCTACATCTGCTGCCCTTGTCCTTCAAGGTGGTAGAGGTCACGGGTTTCACATGTGCTGCTGTAGGAGTTTTGGTGAGATGCTGCAGTGAATTTTATAGATCATACACATTGTATGTCTGTGTGAAGGAAATGAATGTTGAAGGTGGTAGATGTGCTGCCAGTCAGGCAGGCTGCATTGTCCTGGATGGTGTAAAGCATCTTGAGCAGAGCTGTACCGAGTCAGACAAGGGAAGAGTATTCCATTACACTCCTGACTTTTACCTTGTAGGTAGTGGACAGGCTTTAGGGAGTCAGGAGGCAAGTTATATGTTGCAATATTCCTAGCCTCTGACTTGGTCTTGTTGTGGAAGCATTGAAATGGCTAGTCCAGTTCAGCTTCTAGGCAAATGATAAGCCCCAGGATGCTAACAGTAGGGGATTGTAGGGTAATGCCATTGAACATTGAGGGTCCATATTAGATTCTCTCTTGCTGGAGATGGTCATTGCCTAGCACTTCTAATTCTACTTTATTGTCACATGTAATCATGTACAGGAATAGAGTACAGTAAAAAGTGTACAAAGTTGCCATTCAAAATCTTCAACTGCTGTCATCGATCTGCTGCAGATACAATCATTGCGCTGTTAGTGAGGGAGATCCAGGCTATTGACTTAGCACCAGTGAAGGAGAGCCCAAATGTTTTGTGGCTTGGAAAGGAATTTGCAAGCGGTGAAATTACTGTGTGTGCTTGCCCTTGTAGGTCATAGGAGGTAGCATGGTTTGAGTTCACTCCCCCATTCGATCATGGCCGAAATGTGTCTCAATCCCGTTCTCCTGCCTTCTTCCTGTAAGCCTTGATCCCCCTTCTAATCAAAAACCTGACTTAAATACACTCTATGACTCAGTCTCCACAGTGCTCTATGGCAACAGGTTCCACAGATTCACCACCCTCTGCGTGAAGAAATTCTTCCTCATCTTGGTTCTAAAGGGTCGACACATCTTCCCGAGATTGTGGCCTGAGGTCGTAGCCACTCTTCCTAGTGGAAATATCACCTTTGTGTCCACACCGCTCAGTATTCTATTAGTTTCAATGATATCTCCATCCCCCTATTCTTCTGAACTCCATCAAGTACAGACCCACAGTCCTCAACTGCTCCTCATATGATAAGCCCTTCATTCCAGGGATCATTCTTGTGAACATCATCTGGGCCACCTCAAATGCCAGCATATCCTTCCTTAGATACGGGGCCCAAAACTGCTCACAATATTCAAAATGCAGTCTGACCACAGCCTTGTACAGCCTCAGCAGTACATTTCTGCCCTTGTGTTCTAGCCCTTCTGAAATGAATATTAACATTGCATTTGCCTTTCTAACTGCCAATCGAACCTGTATGTTAACCTTAGAATTCTGAACTAGGACTCCTAAGTTCCTTAGTCCTTCAGATTTCCAAACCTTTACCCCATTTAGAAAATAATCTATGCCTCCATTCTTCCTACTAAAGTGCACAACCCCACCTTTCCACAATACATTCCATCTGATACTTCTTTACCGACTCTCTTACCCTGTCCAAATCCTTCTGCAGCCTCCCTGCCTCCTTAAAACTACCTGTCCCCCCACCTATCTTTGTGTCATCTACAAACTTAGTCCTTCATCCAGATCATTAATGCACTTGAATAGTTGTGGTTTCAACACTAACCCCCATTGAAATCCACAAGTCACTGGTCACCACTCTGAAAAAGACCCCTTTATTCATACTCTTCTACCTTCTACCAGTCAGCCAATCCTCTATCTATGCCAGTATCTTGCTCCTAACACCATGCGCTCTTATCTTATTTAGCAGGGTCCTGTGCAGCACTTGTCAAAGGCCTTCTGGAAATCCAAATAGATCACAGCCACTGGCTCTTCTTTGTCTAACGTGCTCTAATGTGCTAATGATTTGTAAGCCATGATTTCCCCTTGAAATCGTGCTGATTCAGCCTTATCGTAACATGCACTTCCAAGTACTCCACTGTCTCATCCTTAGTAATCTAAAATGTTACCAATGACAGAGGTCAAGCTAACCAGCCTATAATTTCCCGTCTTCTGCCTCCCTCCCTTCTTAAACAGCAGTGTCACATTAGCTATTTTCTAGTCCTCTGGGATCTTCCCTGACTCCAGTAATTCCTGGAAGATCACCACCAATGCCTCTACAATCTCCTCAGCTATCTCCTTCACTCTGGGGCGTAGTCCATCTGATCTGGGTGATTTATCCACCTTCAGACCTTTCAGCTTCCCCAGAACTTTCTTCTTAGTGATGGCCATTACACTCACCTCTGACTGTCTTACCAAAGGAGCATTGGGTAAATTTTTGAGCATCTCAGAGTGAATAACGTGCAAGACTCTGGGATAAGTCAGCAAAAATTGATTAATTATTCATGCTCAACTTGTTATAATTGGAATTATAGGATTTCAAATTGCATGTCAACAAATTGTTGTTTCTGCCGGAAGACTGTTATTGTATTGTCTTGTTTCATGTTTAAGATCCATCAATACAGATAGCATCAGACGTTTTAAAGACAAACCTTTTTCATCTTTCACAGGATGCCAGGCCAACATTTATTGCTCCTCCTCCTTCACTTGTTAGTTTAGGGATGAGATGGTAGCTTGTGCTAACGTTACTGAATTGTTAATCTGGAGGTGCAGGCTAATGCTCTGAGTACACAGGTTCAATTGCCACCACTGCAAGTTGTGGAATCCAAACACAATTGATAAAAATCTGAAATTATAAAACCAGTCTCAATAATAACCTCAACAATTGGTATTTTCTTAAAAAAAAAAGTCTAGTTCACTTGTAGTCTGGGAAGGAAACCTGCCATCTTTCCTGGTCTGGTTTACATGCGACTCCAGACCAATGGTTATCTCTTAGCTACATCTGAATTGTGCAACTCAGTTAAAGGGCAGTTAGGGACTGGCAACAAATTCCAGTGATATCCACATTCCACAAAAGAATAAAGTATGATGACTGTTGAAATGTTACAGCTCCTGCTAAACCTTCACTGTGGAATATTCACAATCAGCTGATAAATAAGCACTTTTACTTATACAACAAGGTGACCCACAGGGCTATCCAGAGACCGCAGAAACATTGTGACAGTTGACACAGTAATTTCCAGCAGTAAATGCGATCAGAAAAATGTGACCAAGAACAGTGACAACCAGACATTGTCATTGAGGCCTAGTCCATCTAGAGTGAGGGGACACAACCACAGGATCAGCAGTAAGCATTAGGTCTGAGGTAAGGTAACACTGCTTCATTTCAAGGACTGAGTGTTTTTGATAACCTCTACTCCAGATGCTCAGTCATTGACCAAGAAGGGAAGTGGAGTTCAGACAGAAGATTAGCTATGATCTTACAGAATGGTGGAATGGGGCCTTTTGGCTTACACCAGCTGCTATTTCTTATGACTGCATAATATTGATAAATCGAGTCAGACAATTCCTTTTAGGAATAATTTATTTCCACACTAAAAAATAAAATCAATGGACACTGAAGAGCTCGTCTGACTAATGACAGAAATGATTGTCCAGCAGAATTTCAGTCATTAAGCTGATCACATCGGGGTGAACCAAACAGTTCAACAACTTGTCAGTGGATATCATTGTGCTGTGAACTCCAGTATGTTTGGAATTACTATCCACTTTTCCACTACAAGCGTTAGCTTCTAGGTTATTGCTCAGAGCAATGCTCGTCTCCCTTGAGTCACTGGGTACTCCGTGCTGGGCTGTCGCTCCTGTATCTCGGACAACCGGAAGTAGATTAGGCCCGAAAGGGATGCTGGTGGTCAGGGCGGGTTTAGGGTCTGCATCTGCAGCTGCTGAGTATTCTGCCCCATCACCTGAATTATGTTTCCTTCTCTTAAAGGTAGACGAACTCCATGCTGATAGGTTGCTGCCTTTTGAGGGGCAAATCTTTCGCTTATTTAAACAGGCCTGAACTGCAAGATTGACATAGTGCAAGTTTGTCTCGTGTGAAGTGACTTCAACCTAAATAAAAAGAAAGAAGAGCTTTGATTCATAACTTTAATTATCATTTCAACATGTTCATCTCTGGCGGATTCACACTTTATATGCATTGGTTACACAGAAGTCCTGCCCAATTTGATAGGCTCCAGATCTCCAGTAGCCAATCAGAAAATGCTTTCTTACTGTTTACATTCCCTTTTCAATCATCGTAACTAATCCATAAGATTATAAAATATCAGCTCGTCAGGTTTACTCCAGCCAAGTGAGAAAAATGCTGATAATCATCAACTGTACTTTCCTACCTTTCCCAATAATTCTTGATTCCCTTACCGATTAAATATCTGTCTGAGCCTTGAATATACTTAATGACCCAGCCTCAACAGTCCTCAGCAGTAAAGAATTTCACAGATTCACTACCATCAGAGAAAAAAAAAACCTCCTCATCTCTGTCTTAAATATGTGATCTCTTATTCTGAGCTTGTACCATAGTCTCCCACAAGAGGAAACAACCTTTCAACATCTACCCTGTCTAGACCCCAAAGGAATTTTTTTATGTTTCAATAAGGTAGCCTCTTATTTTCTAAATTATAAGCAGTATCAATAAGCACTTTGAAACCGTTAGTCTTGCTTAGATCATTGGGTGTTTGCACTAACCAAAAATACTTTAACGTCAACCACTTACTTCACTGGCTCTTGGACATTCACCATGTCACTTACAACACAGTCAGATACCGTGAGCAAAACCACAAGCTAAGTTATCTCAGGTAGAGATGTACAATAAGTCAGTCAGCCACCAAAACAGGTGAATGTTTCTGGTGCGATTCTTCAGCTGAAGCAGTTAGTTGACTTACCTGTTGTGGTTTGCAGATTTTTCTGTGTTCACATACGCACAAGATCAACAATGAAATTAACAGTTAATTTACAACAAGCCCCACTGTGACTAAATTCAAAACGAGGCCATTTCACTAAAGCTCCAACAGACTAAAGACTGACATACGCACCTCCGTGGTGTTGAGCCAGCTGGCAATATGAGCACGAGGATCTGCAGTCTTGACAGCACAGACCACAGTGCGAGCCAATGCTTCCCCAACTCTGGCTTCATCGTCGTCATCCTGATAACACAACAGCGTGGGATAAGAAACACTGCTAGATCCAGGGTAAAAATGTCACACAAACCGTATTTTGGTTGGGATAGGGGAAAGTAGGGAGAGAGTTGCAGAGTTCCACTCCCCCTTTGTTTGGATCAATGCTTCCTGGCTTCATGCCTGATGGTCAAGCTCTTACTTTAATTTTAATATCATCATCATCATCTTAGATTTTCATTATCTATACTAAAGAATCGTCCCTCAAGTCCCTCAACTGGATCACCCTTTAATGAAACAGATTCAAAGGGAATGAAAGTCAGCTTTATACATTCTTTTCTCACCACTTGACTCCTTAAGCAATGGTATATCTTGAAAGAGTCTGTATTTCAACACTGGTATGTCACAGGGATTAGTGCTGGGGCCGCAATTAGTTACAATACATATTAGTGAATTCAATGACAGAAAGTGAATATACTATAGCCAAGTTTGTGGATGAGACAAAAATAGGTAGGAAGGCAAGTGGTGAGGATGGAGAGGGATACATAGACAGGTTAAGTGAGTTGGCAAAACATGGCAGATGGAATATAATGTGAGGTTATGCATTTTGGCAGAAAAGAAAAGAAAGGGGAGTGAATATTACTCACAGGGAGAAAGACTACAGAAAGCTATAGAGTAGAGGGATTTGGAGTCTTTGTCCATGAATCTCAAAAAACCAGCATCCAAGTTCAGTGGGTAATAGGGGAGGGAAGGCAAACAGAATGTTGACCTATATCAAAAGAAAGAGTATAAAAGGAAGCTTTTTGAAATATACAAGGCACTAGTCAGGCCAGAGCTGGAATATGAAAACAGTTTTGGGCCCAATATCCAAGGAAAGGTATACTTGCATTGGAGGCAGTCCAGAGAAGGTTGATACCAGGCATGGAGGGACTGTCTTACAAGATTAGGTGGAGCAGATTTTTTCTGTACTTGCTGCAATATAGAAGAATGAGAGGTGACTTCATTGAAACATACAAGATTCTTGGAGAACTTGACAGGGTAGATGTAGAAAGATTTGTTTCTCCTTGTAGGAAAGTCAAGGCCCAGTGGGAATAATTTTAGAATAAGGGGGTACAAGTATAAGATAAAGATGAGAAAGTATTTCTTCTCTCAGAGGGTAGTGAATCTATGGAATTCTTTACCACAGAGAACTATTGGACTGTGTCATTTAAGTATATTCAATACTCAGACAGACAGATTTTTAATCAGAAAAGGAATAAAGAATTATAGGGAAAAGGCAGGAAACAGCAGTTGAGGATCATCAGATCAACCATCATCTCATTGAATGGCAGAACAAGCTGGATAGGCTGAATAACCCACTTCTGCTCCGATGTCTTATGACTCCTCCAAGGTCTATGCATCTTTCCCGAGGTGCAGTGCCCACAACCATACTTGGTCTGATGAAGGATGTATATAAACTAAGCATATTTCCCCCCACTGTGTACAACAGCCATTAGAGATAAAAGCCAATGTTCCATTAGATTTTTAAATTGCTTTTCGTGCCTGTTCACAAGCTTTTCATGATTGGTTTATGAACACCCAAATCTTTTTGCTCAAGGCAAAATAAGTACGAGGGGAACATTATCAAAGTGCGCAGCCCTTGACATGAAGCAGGGAAGGACAGATTCGACACTCAACATGAAGCAGCAATAAGAAACTACCCTTGAGCAAGAATAGCGCGTAATGCATAGTAACAGTTGGATTTAAAACTTCCTCGCCCGTCAGATCACAATAAGTAAAGACTCATACAGATGCTTGCTGTTTTACTACAATATTACAGTAATCATATAAACTATAATGCAATAAGAGAGGTAACTATATCATTTGAATTGTTGAAGATAGTGCCCTTGAGTAATTAGAGATCCTACAACAAAACTCAAAGTGATCTAATGCAGTCAACTACGTACCATATGGGACATGTTCAATTATAGAAAACGGAGAATCTCCACAGGACCCTTTCTTATTTTCACATGGTTGTCTTCAAAATTCAACACTTCAAATCTTTCTTCCCCTAATTGCACTCCCTATACATTGAATACAAAAGACACTTTGGCACTGAGGGTTAACACATCATGTGTTGAGGTATATTTTCACTACTATCTTCATTCACACACAGCATAGACCAGAGGATCAAGCCAAAAGCACAAATGTTCAGTCAAACAGGAAGATAGAGAGACGGCATTTCCATTCTCCTTTGTAAGTTATCTCCTGGGAGTCAGTATGTTCTTCTGAATATATTTTTCGCTGAAGGTATTGCTGATATCATTACATTCAGCAAGTAATAACAAAGGTAAATGGAATTTTAACTTTTATTTATAGAGTCATACAGCATGGAAAGAGATCCTTCAGTCCAACTAGTCCACACCGACCATGTTCCCAAACTAAACTAGTCCCACCTGCATGCGTTTGGCCCATACCATTCTAAATCTTTCCAATTCATTTACTTATCCAAATGTATTTTAAAAACTGCAACTGTACCTACATCCACCACTTCCCCTGGCAGTTCAATCCACATACAAAATGCTCTCTGTGTAAAGAATTGCCCCTCATGTCCTTTTTAAAATCTTAATCCTCTCACCTTAAAAATATGCCCCCTAGTTTTGAACTCCCCATTTTAGGGAAAAGACCCTTGCTATTCACCTTATCTATGCCTCTCATGATTTTATAAACCTCTATAAGATCAGCCCTTAGCCTCCTACTTTCCAGTGGTAAAAGTCCTAGCCTATCCAGCATCTCCTTATAACTCAAACCCTCCATTCCTAGCAACATCCTGGTAAATCTTTTCTGAACCCTCTCCAGTTTAATAATATTGTTCCTATAGCAAGGCAACCAGAACTGCACAGTCCTCCAGAAAAGGCCTCACCTGTACAACTTAAACATGATGTCTCAACTCCTACAGGGGTTTAGAGTAGATTTGTAGCTCGAGTTGTGGATATTGTGGTTGGTTGGCTCGCCAAGCTGGTTTGTTGTTCCGCAGATGTTTCATTACCCTGCTGGGTAACATCATCAGTGCAGCCTCCGATGAAGCGCTGTTGTGTTTTCCCGCCTGTTATTTAAACGCTGATGTCCGTTGAGCTGGATTACCTCACTTCCGGTTTTCCTTTGCAATGGAGTGTATATGGGGGTCTAGCTCTATGTGTTTATTGATCGCTTTCTTAGTAGAGAACCAGGCTTCTAGGAATTCCCGTGTTTGTCTCTGCTTCATTTGTCCCAGGATCTTGGTGTTGTCCCAGTTGAATTGCTGGTTTTCCTTATCCACGTGGATGGAGATGAGTGAGTATTGGTCGTGTCCTTTGGTTGCCAATTGATGCTCGTGTACCCTGGTGGTTAATTTCCTTCCTGTTTGTCCGATGTAATGTTTGTCGCAGTCTCTGCAGGGAATCTTGTATATGACATTGGTCGTCCATATTTGTCTTTTTAAAACGTTGCTATTGTGCCTGTCTCAACCACTTTGTCCAACAGCCCATTCCATTTACGCACCACTCTCTGCGTGAAGAAGTTGCCCTTCACGTCCTTCTTAAACCTATCCCCTCTCACCTTAATCCTATGCCCTCTAGTTTTCAATTCCCCATCCCTGGGAAAAAGACTATGTGCATTCACCCTATCTGTGCCCCTCATGATTTTATACACCTCAATAAGGTCGCCACTCATTCTCCTGGATGTTGCCAGGACTAGAAGGCCTGAGTTACAGGGAGAGGTTGGCCAAATTAGGACTTTATTCCTTGGAACATGGGAGAATGAGGGGTGACCTTATTGAGGTGTATAAAATCATGAGGGAAATAGATAGGATGAGCATTTGTCTTTTACCCCAGGCATGGGGAATTGAAAACCAAAAGGAATAGGTTTAAGGTGAGAGGGGAAAGAATTAAGAACTTCTTCACGTAAAGAGTGGTGAATATATGGAATGGGCTGCCGGAGAAAGTGGTTGAGGCAGATACAATAGCAACATTTAAAAAACATTTGGATAGGTACACGGTTGGGAAGGGTTTAGAGGGATATGGAGCAAATGCGGGCAATTGGAATTAGCTGAGTGGGCACCATGGTCAGCATGGACCAGTTTGAGCCGAAGGACCCGTTTCCATGTTGTATCACTTTATGACTCTATGTCTAGGTTGACTATTTGGAACAGTGCTTTGCTACAGGATGTTAAAGCAAGGCACTCTCTGACTGTGCTTGGAACTGTTTCAAACAGTAGCGGAGGAGTTCCGCCTAGTACGCAGTAGAGATTTATAGACCTTTGCAAATCTCCTGCTCTCTATTGAATTACTTACATTTACAATCTGTTTCTTATCAGCAGTTAGAAATTCTATATTTTTCCTCTATTCTAATCAACACGTCACCTCTTCTACTCCAAGGAAAAAAAGCCCTTACTTTTCACAGCGTTCATGTTTGGCTCAACTCACTACCTGATCTATGATTATACACTTATCTAGTAATAGCGCTCCTATTGTAGAAAGAGGACCTTATTCTATCCTATCATATTCCCTTCTCATATAGAGTCAGAGTGCCACAGCACGTAGGCAGACTCTTCTGCCCAAACTGGTCCATGCCAACCAAAATGTCCAGCCATGTTAACCCCATTTCCCTGCACTTAGCCCATATCCTTCTAAACCTTTGCTATCCATGTTTTCATCCAAATGCCTTTTAAATGTTGTTAATATATCTGCCTCAACCACTTCCACTGGCAGTTCATTCCATATGGGTACCACCCTCTGTGTCAAAAAGTTGCCTTTCAGGTTCCCATTTATTCTTTTCCCTCTTACCTTAAACTAATGCCCTCTAGTCCTCGATTCCTCAAACCTAGGGAAAAAAGACTGAGTGCATTCACCCTATCCATGCCTCTCATGATCTGATACTCTTCGATAAGATTCCCCCTCAGTCTCCTATGCTCTAAAGAAAAAAGCTTGTCCAACCTCTCCCTATAACTCAGTCCCTTGAATCCTGGTAACATCCTGGTAAATTTCTTCTGCACTCTTTCCATTTTAATAACATCCTTCCTGTAGCAAGGTGACCAAAACTGAACACAATACTCCAAGTGCGGCCTCACCAACGTCCTGTACAACTGCAACATAACTTCCCAACTTCTGTTCTCGATGCCCTGACTGATGAAGGCCAGTGTGCCAAAAGCCTTCTTCACTGCCCTGCCTACCTGTGACTCCACTTTCAGAGAACTGTGCACCTGAACTCCAAGGTCCCTCCGTTCCACTACATTCCCTAAGGCCCTACCATTCACCATGAAACTCCAACCTTGATTTGACTTTCCGAAATGCAACAGCTGACACATCTATATTAAACTCTATTTGCCATTTCTCAGCCCACTTCCCCACCTGATCAAGATCCTGCTGCAATTTCTGATAACGTTACTCACTGTCCACAATAGCACCTATTTTAGTGTCTTCCATAAACTTACTAATCATGCCTTGTACATTCTCATCCAAATCATTGATATAGATAACAAACAGCAATGGGCCCAGCAACGACCCCTGAGGCACACCCTTAGTCACAGGTCTCCAGTCTGACAAGCATCCTTCCCGTATTACCCTCTGCTTCCTACCATCAAGCCAATTGTGTATCCAATTTGCCAGCTCTCCCTGGATTCCATATGATCTAACCATCCAGAGCAGCCTACTATGTGGAACCTTATCAAAGGCCTTACTGAAATCCAAACAGACTATGTCTACCACCCTGCCATCAACCACCTTCCTGATCACTTCTTTAAAGAACTCTAACAAATTAGTGAGGCATGATCTCCTATGCACAAAGCTATGCTGACGACTCGTAATCAAACTCGGTCTTTCCAAATGCATGTATAACTTATCCCTCAGGATCTTCTCAAGTAACTTACCTACCACAGATGTTAAGCTTACTGTCCTGTAATTCCCAGGTTTTTCTTTGCAGCCCTTCTTGAATAAGGGCACAACATTCACTACCCTCCAGTCTTCCAGGATTTCACCCGTGGCTAACGATGATGCAAATATATCAGTCAGGTTCCCCACAATTTCTTTTCTAGCCTCTTGCAGGGTTCTTGGATATATCTGGTCAGGGCCAAGATATTTATCCACCTTTGCACATTCTAATACTTTAAACACCTCCTCTACTGTGATATGGACTGTCCCCAAGATATTGCCACTAACTTACCCAAGTTCTCAAGTCTTCATGTCTTTCTCCACAGTAAACAGAGAAGAAATATTCATTGAGGACCTTGCCCATCTAATGCAGTTCCACACATGTCCACTTTGGTCCTTGAGGGGTCCTATTCTCTCCCTAGATATTCTTTTTCCCTTAATAATTTTAAAGAATCTCTTTGGATTAACCCCAATCTTCGCAGCCAAAGCTATCTTGTGCCCCCTTTTCACACTCCTGATTTCCTTCTTCAGTAAACGGTGTATCCCCAATATACATCCAGGGATTCCCTTGATCCCAGCTGCCTGTACCTGAGCCATGCCTCCTTTTTTCTGGTCAAAGCCTCAATATCTTGTCATCCAGTGTTCCTTACTCTTGCCAACCTTGACCCTTCACCCTTACAGGAACATATAGACCTCAAACACTAGCTATCACACTTTTAAAAGCCTCCCAATTGCCAGAAGTCCCTCTGCCTGCAAACAAAATACTCCAATCAACCCCTGCAAGCTCCCATCTAATTCCAACAAAATTCGCCTTGCCCCACCCAATTTAGAACTTCAACCTGTGTACCAGTTTTGTCCTTCTCGATAACTATTTGAAAATTTATAGAACTGTGGTCACTGGTCCCAGTGTGCTCCCCCACTGTCACCTCAGTCATCTGTCCTGCCCTATTTCCCAAGAGTAGGTCGAGTTTTGCCCCTTTCCAGTTTCCTAACCCCAGTCAATGAAAGGGTCATTGAAACCCCCCTAGATAAAATAATTTTGTTGTCACTACTCAGATCCCTACCTGCCTACACATTTTCCCTTTTCAATTCTATCTCACAATGACAGTGTCTAGTATAACTAGTATAATAGAGATCTTTTATCTCTACTTCTGTCCTTCCTAAAATTATAATAACCCTATTTTAATTTTTTAGCTCCTTCCCCACTTGGCAGCCAAGGTTCAGAGTCATTGACCCAAAATGTTAACTGTGTGAATCTTACATTGTATGGTCTAAAAAAGGTCTAGTGAGATTTCTTGCCCTATCATACCAATATAGGAATGTGTGAACAAGGAACAGAGTGGGCCACTCGACTCTTCAAACCTGTTCCATCATTCAATAAGATAAAGACTGATCGGATTTTAACCTCAACGCTGTATTCCTGTGTTCTTCCTCACTTCTGAGGAAAGGTCATTGGACCTGAAACATTAACTCTGATTTTTTTTTTTGTAC